TGAGAGTAAAACAGAGAGCTATTGGAGGTGAAAACGACAAGTATGCAGTGCAGTCACTAAGGCTCATGTGGATCTTGGAATGGAAAGGAAGACTAAACTGGGTGCTGTATTATTCGGTGACTAAGAGATGGTAATAGGGGGATAAATGGTGGTGAATTGAATAGTATGAGGTTCAGAGGAGCAGAGCTTTTTGTACAATGACACCAAACCCACTTGGCAGGACTGCCTGAGGTACTGTAGAGAGACTAACCTCATCGGAAAGAGCTTAAGAGAAGGGTTGGTCTTTCAGGGGGTGTCAACTTTCACTTAAGCCTGGAAGACATAGAAGTCATAGAGAACTTTATTAACCAAGAGACAGTGGAAAAGTTTGGACAGAGAAGCAGTAAGAGGCTGGTTTTAGAAAGGGAGCACAGAATATGGAGGTAGAATATGGGATAGGACAGATGGCATATGAACTGAGACCCTTATTAAAAATTGTCCTTGTACTGTTTTTATTGTGAATGGTAGTTCTGAGTTTCCTTTTTTTTTCCAACCTCCATAGTCAATGAAAAAACAGTACAGATAACTTAAGATTGCAACTTCATGTTGTACAGTTGCAAGTCGACAGAAGAACCAAACTAAAAAAGAACTCAAACTCAAACTGCACACCAAAGTAAAAGGAAATAAAATAGTATCCCATGAGAAAGACATATTTTAGTGTTGCAAAAGAATCAACAAAGTGACACCAAAGAATAAAGGCAAAATTAAACCCTTAGATATATGCCACATAATTAGCTTGCATTAAAATATTCTAAATTCTGATTTAAGAATTACTCCTAGGCAAATTGCTCCTGTTGTGTTTATCCTATTTCTTTCTAGATGCTTACTTTAGAAAAGAGTTCATTTGGGTTCTATGAGAGAATCTCCTGTAGTATATAGAAACTATCTAAAATCTTAAAATTGTATTTATATGAATCTCATATGCATCTAGTTTTAGTATATGTGCTACAGAAGCAAGTGCACATATGCATCTAAAGCCATGAAAAACCAGAGAAGGCACTTGCAAAGTACATAGCTCCTTTCGTAAGTTAAAACTTTCTTTGAAGTGAATTGTTTATTTCCAAGTCCTTAACGTGCAGAGTTATCTTTGGAATGTGTTACATAATTTTCAATGTTGCCCTTATGGTTATTCTATCAAATTCTACCATGTCTTAGAATAGTATATGTAGGGATCAGTTGGCAAGTCACCTGTTTATATTGGGGGCTGGAGGGATGATAGAGACAACAGGATTGTTTTGGCAGTGTTTTTATGCTGTTTGGAAACGAGTTCTTCAGAGAGGCACTGTTGTAATGAAGAGTCTTCAGTCCACTGTTAGGTTCCACAATAGCCATAGCACTCCTTTTGAGCTATTTTTAAATGTATTTTGATAAGCAGTATTTATAGTTCCCCATTCCAAATTTTAAAAGTATTTGATATGTCAGTCATGCTTAGAAACGTTTTTAGAAAGTGTATTACAAAATGAGAGACAAAAACATTAATTGATGATGGTTTAATAAAATAAGAGCACGCAATTAGTGAATCTTTAAAAAGCTGTTCTCACATGGATGATTATTTTTGCAAAATTGAATACTTTAAGGCTTTAATTTTATACTTATTGCTAGATCATTATATCTAATTATTTTGACCATTTATTCAAATAATAAACCTCCAAGGCTGAATATTTATAGTGAAGAATGAGTTTACAGAAAGGAAAATAATTATATGTCTCTCTCTCCCTGATATTTTATTCTGCCTGCCATAGAGTACAAAAATATACATTCACATTGTTTTATCATATTCTCGGATCATACAGATTTAGTTACAATACACACACAGGTCAGCCAGTGTTAAAAGACTGAAAAGAATGAAAACTACAAATGAGGACAGATGAGCTATGCATTATGTAATGATAAAACAGGTGTTTTTGAAGATAAACAATGTTCAAAAGCAAAGATTTAAATACTTTTGCATCTCTAATTTTTTCTGGTTATTGGACAAAAAGCAAATAGCTTTCACATGAAATCTAAATTTCTGTAGTATAATCGAAATACAGAATGTGAATAGTTCTAACTTTATTTCCTCTTTTTTTTTTAAAGCAAACTTTCTGTCA